TAACTCGCCACACACTGACTGCTTTCTCGTTCTGAATATCTTGCTGGTCCCATTCCCATTATTCTATTCCCATTCATGATCCATCTTCTAGGTGGGTTCCCCCCATCTCCATGTACAGTAACTCACGAGGCAAAACTCAGTCTACTAACAGTCCAACACTAACCATGACTGCAGCCCAAGAGATGAGGATGATGCCTCAGAGCCGCAAATATCCACTTGGTTTAATCACATGTGCTGGTGTGTGGCTCACGCTAACTGTGCTTGTGCCCATGGAGACTGGGCTTGTTTTATGGGAGATGGTGCTGGTTCCAGGAGTGGTGGTTGGCTCATGGGTAGATCCTGTCCTGGTGGTCCTAGTACCTGGCACTGATGTGGTGGATGATGTGCCAATAATGGATGTGCCCAGGGCAGAGGTATTTGGGGCTCTCCCAGGGACAGTATTCCTGGAGCAGGGGATGTGGAGTCCGTTCCAGGAGCTGTGGAGACAGAGATGGGGGTAGTTGGTTTGGTTCCAGTGATCCTAGTGTCTAGGAAACAGGTCACACGATATGATGCATTGGTAGTGGAGATAATTAACAGGGAGGCAGGTGTCCTTAGAGCAGAGGGGTTGATCTAACACATCTCTGGTGCTGGTGGTTTGAGGAGAGGTGTTGTGGTGGGACGAGAGATGGTAGAAAGTGATTCGCCTGAGGCCATGGTCCCCAGAATAAAGGTGAGTGTCTTACAGAAGAGGAGGTAGAATACGTGCATGGATGGTGCTGTTGATGGTGGAAGCAGAAGATTGAGGAAATGTGACCATGACACATGTGGACGTGGGAGATCTATTCAATTATGGAAGTGGTCACCCACAGAGAAGAGCGTGGGTTGGGATGAAAGGAATAGGGTCTGGTAGTCTTGTGATGTAGTCACTGGGTATAAGGATGGTGCTGGAGGAAGAGATGACAGAATAAGATTTTTCCATGGATGAGGCAGTGCTCATGGCTTGGAGCAGAGGTGACATAAGCTAACACAATCGTGGTGATCAACAAAGTTGAGCTGAGTGTGCTCGGAACAGATGACCCACGTGAAGAAGCTGGCGACCCCAGGGACGGAGGCGGGGTGGGGGCGGGGGACTCAGACAAGGTGGGAGGACAGGAGAGGCAGTAGAGATGGTGCTGTTGGCAGCAATGGTTGTGTTTAGATGAGACGTGGCTACACTGATACAAGAACAGTGTCCGTCACTGGAATAGCAGAGGGTGGCTCAGAACAAAGTGGGTAGAATCAGTTCCAGTACGAGTGCTGATGGCAAGTGCAGAGGTGGTTTTATTCAGAGCAAGTGCCAGAGTATGAAAAAAAATAGTTTGGTCTTGGACTAGAGCAAGGATTGGCAAACTTTTCCTGTAAAGGGCCAGATGGTAAATTTGTAAGCTGTTTGGTCACAGTCTCTGTTACAGTTACGCAAAGTACCTGGAAAGCAGCTATAGATGTAAACAAATAGGTGTGACTGTGTTCCAACAGCACTTCCTTTGGAAAGACAGATAACAGGCCAGAGCTGTCTTGTGAATTATCGTTTGCATCCCCTGGACCAGGGTTCAGTATGTCGAGGCCACAGTAGTTTCAGAGGCTTTGGTGGGCACAGACTCCACAGTGGTTCCTGAGACTGTGGTAGAAGCTATGGTGAGTGGTCTCAAAGCCTGTGGTGGCTTCATTGGTGGAGACTGTGGTGGGCACAGATGTCATCATGGAGGCTGAGGTGCTGTCAGAGGCTGCTGTGGTCTCAGCGGGCACTGTGGTAGCTGTGGAGGGCACAGAGCTGTAGCTGTCACAGAGATTTTAGTGGAGACTGTTGTGGTATCAGAGGCTAGGCTGTGCTGGCAGCTGTCCTGGTCTCAGAGTTGGTGGTGGAGACCATGGCGGTCTCAGAAGATGTTGTCGTACTCCTAGAGCCAGTGGTGGACACATATGCTATTGCTGAGGACGGGTAGTCTCCGGCGCTTTGGTGGAGGCCTCAGTGGATTCAGAGATCAAAGTAGAGGGTGTTGTGGGCACGGATGTTATCGTGGAGGTTGTGATGCTCTCAGAGACTGTGGCTGAGGCCAGGACGGGGGACTCGCCCAAAACTCCGCCCCCCCCATCAGAGTGGCTTCAGGGTGGGAGGAGGGCATCGGCCGAGGCCCAGGCGGGCCGCTCCTCGGGGGGAGGTGGGGACCTGGCGGGATCCTCAGATGAGCCTACTGTCGCCCTCAGCCAGACTCCGCTCTGTTAGGGAGTGAGATTCAGGAGCCACAGGTCAAGTGGAGCCTCCAGGGAAGGAGGGCCGTGGACTGGGGAACCCAGAGTCCCCGCTGCCTGGCCCCGGGCCGCCCTACTCAGGCTTCCCCTCTGCTCTCGCACCTGGAGCCTGCTCTAGCCCTAGGGATCTTGGGTGCTCGCTGCTAGGACGTGCTCTCTCTTCCCCAGGAAGGTGGCCGGGGAGCGTTCCCTGCCTTGCCACTCACTCATTAAGTAATTTTTCCCAATGAGAGCCCAGCTCCAGAGCTTGTTAAAGGATTTCCCCTTAGATAGCAAAGTGATCACTAGCCTGGGAGAGAGAAGTGGGAAGGGAGACATTCAGGGCTGTGCCCTGGGGCCCATGGCACTCACTGTCCCCGTTTGCTTTGGGGAGATGTAGAACCTCCCCCACTCCCCCAAACACACGCTCTTTGACCCCCAATGCTCCATTTTGGTGCCTTGGCAGGGAGGCATTGGTCGAGTTGGATGTTTTGCTTCATTTTGTTTTGGTTTTTTAATTAGGGTCCAGGCTGGGGAAATTCATGGTTAGAGGCTGGGGTTAGGGGGTATCTGCTTTCCTCCCAGAGCGAGTGACTTTCCTGTCATGGGAGCTGCCACATGCTGCGTCACCATCTGCCCAGAGACTAAAAGCCGGGCAGCTTCCTCCTTTGTCCTATGGCACTCCAGCCCTCTTCCAGAGCCCAGGTGTCCTTCTCTGCCTCAAGGCTCTCTCCAGGGACCTAAGTCTGGGGTCCCTCTGGCACCTGGCTTGCCTCCTTTCTGGCACTCACGCTACAATTCTGCCCTTAGCAGAGCAGATCTGCAGTGGAAGATTCAGAGAACCCCTCAGGCCTCAGGGCCCTCCCAGCCCAGGGCTGGGTCCTGGCAGATAATCCACTGACACGAGTGTCCGGGTTCGGATTACTGTCCATGATGGGCTTCCAGCTTCCTGCAAATGGAGATGCCAAAAGTGGCAAAAAGCTGCTCGCAGCCCTGCTGTTTGATTCTGGATAAAGTCAAGGTTGGAAGGCCTGTGGCAAACTGGAGTGCCTTTCCGGTCAGCAGAGGTGCTGATGCTATCCTCTTCCACTAAGAGTGAGACCCAAGGCTACGTGGATGATGGGCGGTGGTTCGGTTGGGACTGACATTTGGGCACGGAATGGTTTTGGAGCAGGGCTGCTCTCCTACCGTGAGTATGGAACATGGCAGATGTGCATAAACATTGGGCTTAATTCGTTAGAGTTTTGTTTTATTCTGTGTAGTGCTGCCTTGTGATAACTCGTACTGAATTATTTAATTTTAATTTTCCTGTATTTGTGTCTCAGATGAGAACTATGTCGTATACTTCTTTGTAATCCTCAACAGAATGTATAATAGGTGCTTAGAAATACTTGCTTATTAATTAACCCATTTTTCTCCTCATTTTGTCACCATGCAAATGAGCCAGGCATGAACTCAGGCTGGCTCTTCTGGAAATCCAGGAACGAGCCATTTTAGGAACAGTGGAAATTCAGCCTTCTCTTCCTCGACCCTCCAAAGAATTCCTGTCTTCCAGCCACTCCTGCTCAAGGTCATCTGTAAGGTCACAGCCAGAGCCAGGAACACCAGTCAGGACTTTCTCCCAACTGATAGCCCAGTAATTACGATGCCATACTTTATAAATACTTTACACTTTATTGTAAAAAGACCAATAGATAGAAAGAAGTTATCTGTCATCAGCTAACTCTCCCTTACTCCCTCTGCCCAATCAGTAATAAGTGAAAGGGCTTTAGTAAATTGGAGAGAAAATCCAGAAAACATACACAGATGAAATGTCTGCAAGGAGAAAAATCAGAATCTGGGGTGAAGGTGTGGAGAGAATAGGGGCAGTAGAGAAGATGGATGACTCCTACAGAAAAAAAGCCAAGACCTTGGGGCTTTGCGGGGAGAGAGGAAAATAAATGATGAGTGGGGAACACCGTCAAGGAAGGTCTGGGGTGGGGATCCATGGATGAGACTGCAGGCCAAACAAAAATCCCTCCCTGTGTGCCCACACACAATCCAGCAAGCCAAACCAACAGGATGCCCACTGCAGACATTTAGGAAAACTAAGGGATTCAGGAGGGAGAGGGAAGAGCCATCTGGGTGACAGATATTTATGATCTTTTCTGGAATTTTTCTGAGAATGGAGAGGGTGGAGAAGGAAATCCTCTTTTCTTCTCAGATCCTATTTTTTCATTAAAAAAAAACCAAAAACAGTCAAGGGCCCTGGGAACTCAGAGACAAGTCTGTTTCCCACAAACTCTAAGTAATAGTAGATGGAAATAATATAGGTTGGTCCTGAAACCCAGAAACTCTGTCTTTCAACTCGCCCTGCCCATAACCCTGACTCACAGTCAGTCTGGAGCATTGCCTTCTAAGGCCCCCGAACTTCCCTTCACTGTGCTGTCCCTCCCAAAACTCAGAGTCCTATATTGATCCCCACTCTGTACATCCATCAGACACCTTTTCATTTTCAGATCATCATCTTCTCTAGAGAACACTTGCCTGTATTATTCGTTCTTTCTTTTCTATACCCCAAACTCATATCCTTTTTGCTTATCACTTCACCCCTTGACCAGTTTCAATAACACAGCAGTTGAAGGGTTGATGTGTTAACCATCAGTACTTTGCCCTTCCTGGAGTCCAGGAAATAGGAATTGTGGGTCTCATTTTCCATCCAGGAAAGGGGTAAGGCATGGAAGAGCTGGGGGTTGGCGATTTCTGAAACATCATTGTGGGGAAGAGATCTGGGTCATGCCAAGAGTCTGTTGCTCCATCAGGTGGACTGGGTAGGAAGTGGGGCCCCCATCATCCTCTGGGTCATTGTCCTCAGTGTTCTGGATCAGTGCACGGCGTGTTCGTGCCAAATAGGAGACCTGTGATTGGGAAGAGAAAGGAGGCATGAGTACCATCTGCCATGCCATTTACTTTCCTCGACACCCATATCTCAGGTCCTTTGATTCTATTCTCCCTGACCCTGGACGTTGGCTTGCTCCTTTCCCAAGATTCCATTCAAACCCTAATCCTTATTCCAGCCCCAGATCCGGTACATTGATTTCCAGACTTCATCTCCAGTTCCTTCCTCTGTCTTATTTTCCTTATTCTAATATCCCCCATTCTCACACGCCAACTCCAAAATTTTCCCTACTTTACACTCTTTTTTTCTCAGCCACTGCTTTCTTCCCAATTCCACTTTTCATGTCACATGCATCTATTTTCTTTCTCCATAGTTTCCACCACCACAATCCCTCTATTACCATCCTCCACACTATGCCTCTTTTCCTAGACTTATTAGTCCCTCCAGTTCTGATCCATAACATCTCCTCAACTCCTTATCCCATGGGTTCACTCCCCTGGGCATCACTCTCCCTTACCAAGAAAATCAGGCCAAGGAACACCAGGAGGAGAATCACTATCAACAGGACCACGATAACTATGGCCCATGCAGGGAAGGAATCATTCTCCCCCCTCTCTCCAGCATGGAAATCTCCTTGTGAGCCAGCTTTGTTCTGGTGTGGATGGCTCTTGTCAGGGGCTTCCGACATGATCGATCTGGTGGCTGTAGAAGAACCAACTGACACATGACGGGAAATCTCAGGTTTTTTTGGACAAGGAGAGGTAGTACTGATAGACGTGTCTCCTGTGACCTTCACTGGAGGTCTTATACTCTCTGTGGCTGCTGTGACTTTCGTTGAATTTTCTGTGTGTTTAATTGGGGATTTTGTGGTCTCAGTGGCCAATGCGGTCTTTCCCTGATGTCTAGTAGATTCTGCTGGAGTTCCTGAGTTCTTGTAATGGGTCCATTTGGTCTTTCCTTCATGTCCTGTGGGCTTTGCAGAGGTGCCAGTGCTTCCCTCATGGATCGATGTGGTCTTTCCTCCATGTCCCGTGGGTGTTTCTGGGGTGCCCGTGGTCCTCTCGTGGCCCGATGTGGTCTTTCCTCCGTGTCCCGTGGGTGTATCTGGGGTGCCCGTGGTCCTCTCGTGGCCCGATGTGGTCTTTCCTCCGTGTCCCGTGGGTGTTTCTGGGGTGCCCGTGGTCCTCTCGTGGCCCGATGTGGTCTTTCCTCTGTGTCCCGTGGGTGTTTCTGGGGTGTCCGTGGTCCTCTCGCGGCCCGATGTGGTCTTTCCTCCGTGTCTTGTGGGATTTTCTGAGGCTCCTGTGGTCCTCTCATGACTTGACATGGTTGTTTGTTTTTGTTCTTTAGGTTTTCCTGGCTTTTGTGTGGTCTTTTCAGTGGTCTTGTCTGAGGTGGTACATGGTGTTACAGTTTTAGCTGGGTTACTTTTTACTGTTGGTCTCTTTGTTGTGCGCTTAATACAAGTTGTCTTGCTCTTGGGTTCTGGGATTGGATGTTTTTTGTGAACCGATTCTTTATCTGTGTTAGTGGAGTCATAAGTATTGATGTTGTGTTTGTTCCTGGTAATTGGGTCTTTTCCTTGATTGCTGGGGTTTTGTTCAGAAGTGGGAGGAGCATCTTGAGTTGCAGAGCTTTGGGAGTTATCTACATCCTGGTGAAGCAGCTTGGAGTGGTGTGTGGTATTGCATTGGTGTTTTCGCTTATGGGTTTCTGTAGATATTGAGTGGTCTGGGGAGCTTTGTTCTGAATGAAGAGCAATGTAGTCAGAGCGGTTAATAGAAACAGGGCCTTGAGCCAGAGAGGAAAAATGATCAGATGTTGGGTGTTCATGAGTTTTCTGGTGTTCTTGAAGTGTGGCAGCACCTGTGAAGGGAGGGAGGCAAATAAGAAACTTCCTCCATGCTCTTCCCTGCTTCCCTTCTCACCTCATCTCTAGGGGTCCCTTTGTTACCCAAGATGTATCTCCCCAGCCAGTCTCTTCAGAATACTCTGGTATCTAATCCCCATTCTCACCTCCAGTCTCTGGACCTTTGTCGAGGCTGTCCTTTCAGCAACAATGCCACCTCTCTCCTCTCCACCTCTACTCTTCAGTTCTCAAGTTCAGATCTTTCTAGCTGTATGGCATCTTTCCTGATCTTTCTAAGCAGATAAGATCCAGCTTCATCTCGGTGCTCAAAAAAATTCTTGGTTAGTTACTCTTTCCTGCTACCTTCAACGTGACATTGCAGTTGTTTGTGTGCCTGTCAACCTCCCTGTCCGGCTTATCACACTGTAAGATTTTGAGAGGAGACATTGACTGGCCTTTTGCTCCGCAAGTGCTGTTTTAGAGTTTATATACTTATGGAATGGAGCTGCCTTTCCACTGTAGAGCTGAGAGGAAAGGGAATAAATGTCAGAATCTCTATCTTTCCTTAATAGTCCAGCTCCATCCCAAATGTGACTGTGCGAGAGACTGCGGTGAGACATCTGGCAAAACTTCCCACAGAGATTAGTAAGTAGACACAGGTGATGCGTGAGAGGATAAGAAGAGGGATGGACTGTAGGTAGAGGAGGGGGATGGGAACCTTTCATTTTGGTGATGAAGATTGACCTGGATGCAGGGAAGCGGATGAGATGACTCAACCCTTATGGTTCCCCACTGGCTCCCCCTCTTCACACACCTGAAGCCATCTGAGATAGATGAAGGTGACCCTTCTGAAAGAAAAGGATATCGACTTGGGGGTCCTGGGAGGTGTGAACAAGGCAGCTGGATTCTGGCAGGGACCGACTATGTTTATGGACAGGGAGTGAGAGAAAACACCCCTATCAATGAACAGATGTGGGCCTTAATTCCATGGAAGAACAACCAGTGGGAACAGAGGCGATGTCTCTGATATCTAACCAGGACAGTAAGAGCCAGGAGAGTGGGAAAAGTGAGAGAGATAGCGTCGTTACATAACTGAGCTTTCCAGACTCTGTTAACTCAAGGTGGCAACCAGAGCCTGGATACACTCCCAGTCACCGGAAACCACAATCCATCCATCTCCCTGCTGACTCCTTAAGAGGGTTGAGGGTTGGGGAACTTAGTCCTTGAAAGAAATACGGGTGGATGAGAAGGGGGTGAGGGTAGGAGGGAAGCCCAAGTCCCTGATCGGATTCAAGGTTGGGGAGAGAGAGGAGGACTGAACTGCCAGGCCCTCACTTCACCAGGCCGGGTCCATTCTCTGATTCCCTCGGCAGCAATACCGACCGTGGCCCTTGTTTATTGGGCCCCTTCTTGGGGCCAGGAGCTCAGCTAATTGCCTCATAGTCATTCTCTTTCTGGGTTGTCTTCTAAGGTGATTGATCTCCCAGCTCCCCACAAGGCATCTTAGAATCTGTCAATGTCCCTATTTTACAGCCAAGAAACTTGAATTTCTTGGAGCAATGGTGACTTGCACACAATCCCACAGCCACAGCAATGGCCAACCTTTCTGGAACACTTACTGGGAGACAGGCAGGTCCTACGAAGGAGGGCATGTATTAACTCATTTACTTTTTACAACAACCATTTGAGGTTGAGAACTATTTGTTATTCTCTCTTTTTATAGATGAGGAAACAAGGTTCAGAGAGGTTAAGTAATCTCCCCAAGGACACTCAGCAAGTAAGAGGTTGAGACAGAACTGGAACATACATTCTGGGCTCCCAGGCCCAGGCTTTAACTGGTTAAGCCCACACTATACAGCCTATAGGTCAGCCCAGTCTCTTGGGGAAGGAAGAACACTGACATTTGTGGAACCTCTGAAAGATGATGTTCATATATTTGTTTAGGGACTTCCCCGGTGGCGCAGTGGATAAGACTCAGCACTTCCAATGCAGGGGGCCTGGGCTCGATCCTTAGTCAGGGAACTAGAACCCACATGCATGCCACAACTAAGAGTTCTCATGCCGCAACTAAGGAGCCTGTGAGCCGCAACTAAGACCCAGTGCAACCAAATAAATAAATAAATAAAGTGTACAACTCAGTGGGTTTAAAAAAAAAAAGACCAAAAACATATATTTGTTTATTTAATCTTCACCACGAACTTGTGAGGCAAGTGTATGATCTTACTCTTTTACAGGTGAGGAAAGGAAGTTCAAAGAAGGTGAGTAATTGGCAAAGAGGCTTTTCACTACACCCCAGATGCTTTTAAATGTGATAGGAGATGACTAAGTATCCATGGAGTGAATAAATGTGCAGGCAGCAGCCCGGAGTGGCAAATTCCACTGGCCTTAAAGAATCTGAGGAGAGGATAGAGTCCAGGCACTATCCCTCACTAGGTTTGCATCCTTACTCAGGTCACTTAAATGCTCCGAAGCCCCATGTCCTCAACAGTAAATAACGATGATGTCAACGTACCAGTTTAGTGTGAGGACTAAAGGAAGTATGGAGCATAGAAGACTCTGGAGCGTAGAAGGCTCTTGAAAGTGTTTGCTGAATTCAAGTTGTAGTCTTTGAAACAATCTCATACTTTGCTCTGCTCTTCTCCTGGTAGTAAGGGGAGCCTGAGCCTGTGGCCTTGCCCTCCTGTCTTCTGCAGTTCCAGGTGTCTCTCCTGGCTTCCCCCCACCCCCACCCCATATACTTCTGCATCTACCTTGACCACACTTCAATACCCCCCCACCCACCCCCACACACACATTCCTGAGCTGCTTTCCCTTGCTGTGTTTTATCAGCATTGCACTCACCAGTTTCTAAGGTATTACAAGTGCGGTTTACTTCCCCCAGTGGCAGGGACTTTTATGTGTTTTATTCATTGCCTAGGTCTCCAGCCCAGAGCAATGTTTGGCCCATAGGAGGCACTTCATAAGTATTTGTTGAATGGATGAATGAGACAATATTTTAAGACTGATGAAAACTCTTCAGAAGCCATGCCAACAACCTTTCATTATGCATATTAAGTAAGAAAACAAACATAATTGTGGCCTCCAAAGGTTGGGAGACCAAGGGTAACTTCTGCTATGTTAAGTAATTGAGCCCTGAGATGAAAAGATGTTGAAAGAAGGTCTCTCGCCCACCCATTTTGGGATATTGGTCGTTATTTAATCACAGGAGCCACATAGTCAATAACCAGACTCAGATAACTAGATTTTAGAATTCCAGCATCACATAGTTGTGGAACCATTGATTATAAAACCTGGAGTTGAAGCTCAAGGGATTCCTTGGTCCTGAGCCTTGAGGCAAATCAGTGACCTAACCCCCAGGTTGAGATGACCATCTCTTCTCCCCAGGAAATCTGTCATTGGTAGCAACTTTCTTTTCCTAGGAAGTTTCCACCATAAGATATTCATTCCACTGACTATAATAATGGTCAGAAAAGAACTGTTTTGGTCACTGAGGTATAGGGAGAGAGCAAAACCTGGCTTTAGCACAAGACACTGGTGGTAGATACTCAGCCTGGATAAAAGAGTAAAAACAAATCCCACAGCATCAAAACTATGTACAGTTCCAAGGGTCTGTTCTATCTGCTTCATTCACTAGTTTGAAAAGAAGATGGACATCCTACTAAGTGACTCGTGCTATGGAGTCTCTGTTAGAGCAGCCTCACACAAAAGAGTCCCTCAAAAATGGCTTACTCCATTTGCAATAATGTGCATAAATGTTTGTTAAAGTGTCTATACAGTTTAAGTTCAATATGTGACCTAAAACACAGACATAGTAAAAAAAAAAAGATGAAAGGGAAAAACACTCAAATGTTTGCATGGACAACTACAGAGTATTAGAAAAGATTTTCTTTTTCTTTCTAATTTTTTCCATTTTCAGCTTCTAGATTGAGCATATATTATTTTTGTCATAGAAATTAAATCAAATAACATTTGCTATAGGAAAATGTCTTTTTTTAGATTCTCCTCAGGCAGGACCTCAGCCCCATCTGTGCTTTCTTCAGTGATGATTTAATCTAGATGCTGCACCTGTGGTTCTGTGGCTGCATGATGCCGACTCTGGGGTTCTAGGATCTAGTTATCTGAGTCTGGGTATTGACTGGTCCTGTGGATAAGTGACAGGGCATACCCCAGACCTGTGGGCTAAAGGTCTTCATCCACTCCTCTTGTCACTCTTCCCTCCCTACCCTGGCCGCACCGTCTGCTGGACACAGTTATGTGTCAGCCCTGACTCACACTCCACTTGCACCCTGACTCCATTCCAACCCCACCCCAGACTCAAGCCCTCCCTCACCTATCACCCCCTTGCTCTTCTCTGCAGAATCTGAGCGCCCAGCGGCTCTTCCCTCCCCACCCGTCCCCTCCATCCCAGCCAGCCAAGCTCTAGCGTGGCTGTCTCCCAGACCACACACACAGAGCCCAGAGTGTCCTGCTCCAGAATT